GTCAACATAGGCCTCCATGGTGCGCCCTAGGACGGCCTGAAAGACTCGGGCCACCATCCGGGTGTAAGTGGCCCCTGAGTTCTTTAGGCCGAAGGCCATCACTAGGTAGCAGAAGATGCCCTCGGGAGTCATGAAAGCTGTTTTTTCGGCGTCTTCCTCGTGCATGTATATTTGATGGTATCCGCGGAATGCGTCAAGGAATGACATGATCTCACACCCCGCGGTTTCATCCACCAGCTGATCAATATTGGGCAGAGGAAAGGGGTCCATGGGACATGCCTTGTTGAGATCCGTGTAGTCCACGCACATGCGGAATGAGGGCGGTTTCTGTGCGAGGACTACGTTCGCCAACCATGAGGGGTATTCTACCTCCTTGATGTGCTTAATAGAAAGAAGCATGGCGACCTCTTTCTTCACAAATTCCCTTCTCTCGGCCGAGAGGGGTCTCCTCCGCTGTTGTACTGGTTTGGCCGAGGGGTCCACCGAGAGGCGGTGGGTGATGACCCTTCGGCTTATTCCCGGCATGTCCTCCGGCCCCCATGCAAAGACAATGGAGTAGGCGCGGAGGGCGCTGATGATGCCGGTCTTCAAGTCTTCGGGGAGCTTGGCTCCAATCTTCACGACTCTCTCCGGCTTGGCCGGATCGAGCGCGAAGTCTTCTACCTCCTCGGCTGGTTCAGCCCTCGGCCTTCTTTCTTCCGCTTCCATAGTTCCGGTGATGGTGTCAACGCGGAACTCCGTCTTGCTAACCTTCTTTGTAACTTGAAGGTAGCAAGCGCGAGCAAGCTTTTGGTTCCCCCTTGAGTAACCGATTCCCCCCTCGGCTGGGAACTTGAGGCAGAGGTGCCTCATGGAGATGACGGCCTCAAGATCTTCGAGGGCTGGCCGGCCGAGGATGATGTTGTGGGCGCAGTCGATGTTGACGACGACGAACTCCACTTCGAGCTGGGCTCTATGGGCCGAAGGGACCCCCTCTCCAGAAGTATCGCCGGTGAAGCCGGCAAGAGGGGTCTTAATGGGCCGAAGGGACCCCCTCTCCAGATGCAGCTCTCTAAAGGTGCTGAGGTACATCACATTGACGGAGCTGCCCGTGTCAATGTAAGTTCGGTGAATGATGGTGTTGTTTATTTCAGTCCGAATCACCAAGGCATCCCTGTGAGGAGAAGAAGTAGGAGGGAGATCTGCGTAGGTGAAGGTGATGGGTTCCTCCCCCAGCCGCTTTACTGGGGGCATATGAGTGACTTCCCCCACGTAAAGCGATTGAGCCCACTTTTTCCGTTGGCTGGTGGAATCGCCCCCTGTATTGCCACCGGTAATCATGAGGATGTGGCGTTTTTTCTCCTGGTAGTGGAGGTACTCCTCCTCTTCCTCCTCCAAGTTTCCGATCTCCCTCTTCTTGCCGAGGGGCATGGTGTTCGGGTTCACCCAAGCGTTCACCTTCGTGTGGTGCCCTCGGGGAGGTCCCTGATGAGAAGGTCCCTCCTGCCGAGGGCTCTGGATAAATTGGGACAGATGGCCCGCTTGTATCAATCTCTCGATGGCCGTATTTAGCTGATGGCAGTCATCGGTCATGTGCCCCTGATGCCGATGGAAACGACATTAGGGGAACTGAGGGTTGATAGCATGTACCTCTGGGGTGCGCGAGAATCGCGCTCAACGAGGCCCCTCTCCTCGGCAAAATCAAGGATGATGCTGACGGGGTGCGTCAATGGTGTCCAGGGGCGGTCCAGGAGAATGGGCTGTGCCCAAGTCTTAGGGCTGTTCTTATAACCTCCCCCGGTCTTGGTTTGGCCTTGCCGAGGGCGGTTATCAGAGGGTCCTGAAGCCTTGGGCTGATTTGGAGGAGCCCCCGGCCCCCGGTTGTTCTTGTTGTCAGCCTTCGGGGGTTGCTGATCCGGATGCTGGTGGTATTTCTCCACCTCCTCGGCCTCGGCATATCGGTCCCCCCGCTGCAGGGCCCTTATGTAGTCGCGGGGGGGTTCAATGATTAGGCTCCTTGAAAAGTTGCCGGTGCGGAGGACGGTTTGTAGGAGGGCCAGGAGGGTCCCGTCGTCAGCACTGTCGACTTTGTCGGCTTCCGTTCTCCAGCGCTCGAGGAAGTCCCGAAGGGTCTCATCCCTCCTCTGGCGTATGGTTAGGAGGTGGGAGAAGTGCTTCCTTGTGCGACGCCTCCCGACAAATTGCGTCAAGAATCGCTGGGCGAGTTCTTGCCACGAATCAATGCAGCCTTCGGGCAACCGGTTGAACCATTCGTATGCCGGCCCCTCTAAGGTGGAGAGGAACCAACGACACAAATATGCGTCCGACGCCCCTACCATCATCATGTTGTTCTGATATTTGCTGTAGTGTTCCTGGGGGTCCGTCTTCCCGTTGTAGGGCTGTATGTGTTGCCCTCGGTATTTTTCCGGGATCCGAGCCGCCAATACCCTTGGGGTAAATGGCGTCCGGGTCCGGAGCTGGATGATGGGTTCCCCGGAGCACTCGGCTACCTTCTTCTGCAATTCCTCCATTTTGGCCATCATGGCCTCGTATTTGAGGTCTGAATGAGGGGTGGAGGTGGTGGCGTGAGCTTTGTTGGCCTCCATTTCATCAAGTCGTTGTTGGAGGGCCGCAATAATTTCATCCCGGGGGTCCTTCGGGAGGGTCTCCGCCCCCTGCGAACGAACCCGGGCCGAGTGGGCCTGGTTGATTTGGTGGCGAGCATCGTCGGCATGAAGGGGTGCCTTGCCTTTGTCCCGAGGAGGACGCTCCTCGTCTGCCCTCGAGACAGACCCTCCGCTTTCCTGGGGCCTTTGCAGTGCCTTTCCTCCGAGGCGGTCTTGGACCACTCGGCGGTCTTGCCCCCCTCCGAGCCGGTTGAGGGCGGAAGTGCGGGGCCTTTCTCTGTTGTCATTGTGGCGGTCCCGGGACTGAACTTCCTGGGAGGTCGTATCTTAGGCCACTACCCCTTCGTCGTTCCCAATCCGAGGGATGGGGTTTCCGAAGGGGTGTGGCAGAGGGGGAAGCATGATGTTCTCCCCAACCTGGGGTTGAGCCGGAGCCAGGGTGCCGAAGGCACCCGGGTTCTGAGTGAGTGTCTGGATGAAGGCGGAGAGCGCCGAATGAACGTCGATGGTGAGGACCGGAGGGCTGACTTGGTCATCTCTCCGGTTCTTCTTCTTGGCCTCGATGCCGAGGCGGGCATCGGGGGCATTCTGCTGGATCTGAAGGCGTAGGTCGACAGCCGCCTGTTCCATCCCAGCGATGACACCGCCCTCGGGAGCCCTGTGAGAGGCTTCGGGGGCGTTGACGTCGCCGAGGGCCAGGTTCTTGTCTTCTACGTTTTTGGAGTTGGCACGTGTAGTTCTCACCATTTTGGTAGAGGGCTGGTGTTTGGCGAAGGGGGAGGGCTTCTTACTTGATCGTTCGACCTCTCAACGAGAGCATCAAATGATGGATAGTGTACCCGGGGGGTAGCTTATCCGGGGGGTTATTACGGAGAATAACAAGAGAGAAGTCAGAGCAAGTAAGTATAGAGAGAGAAAGTGTATTTAGAAAGTATGCAGCGTTTTTGACTTGGTTACAAATGGGGAAAAGGGGTGCTATTTATAGTAGCAATAAATGCCGGACAGGGACACGTGTCAAGCGTCCATTAGCCGAGAGGTCACCTCATCTGGTTGGCGCTGGCAACCGCATGTGGCCGCATTTAATGCGGCTGTTGGATGGGACATTTGTACAGGGCACGGTGATCTGTACGCATGTGGTGTGGATATCATGTCGGGCAGGGTGCCCTCGGCTGTAGAGGACTAGCCGAGGGCTCCGAGTACTGGGGACCCCCTTGGTGCCGAGGGCTACTGATTTTTGCCGTTTTCCCAGTAACTTCGTTTTGCTGTCCTGGCCCTCCTGTGAGAGTTAGAGCCTTCGGCCAGGGGGCCGAAGGCACCCCTGGTGCGCATTGTGGGCTGCTTGGTACTCTGGGCGCCGTGATTTGGGCCTGTTGGGCCTTCTGGGCCTGTTGGGCCTTTACTGGAGTAATAGGAGTCTGTGGGCCGGGGGTTCCCGGGCCATATACTCCATCAGGTGCATTGGTGTTAAGACCGCATGTTAGTGTTGGACTCGGGTCGTGCCACCCAGCCCATGGACCGGCCCAGCCCGCTACTGTGCGGGACCGGGACCGGTCCGGTTCTCAGGTCCGGGTCGGGCCTAGGCCCGGAGGGTAGGGCGGGTTCGGGCTCGGGTCTCACATATGGCGAACCGGCCCAGCTGGGTCGGGCCCGGACCAAATTGATTTTTTTTTTCATTTTTGGGGTTCCACCCGGGTTGGGCTTGATGGTTAGGATGGGTTTGGGGGGGGTTGGGAGGGTGGGGGTGAGGGGGGGTTAGGAAAGCAAAAAAAAATACTCAAATCGGAGGCCCGGACCGAACCCGGTGGCTACCCGGGCCGGTCCCGGGTCCACCATTCCTGAACCACCGGCCCGCCCAGGCCTAGGCCCGACCCGGACCCGGCCCGGACCTGAGTCCACCCCTACCGCATGTTGAGGTCGCATAGTCATCTCATTATTTTTACCTTTGTATTGCATCTACTCACAGTAACATTCAGAGCTTCCAAATCTGGCATTTGCATTGAATATCATATTCACATTTAATCTTGCCAAATGGCGAGGCAGCATTTTTCTTAGTTTGTTTTCCGTTGCAGATGTGGAGGTAAGAACCACTTTTGAAAGTCAGTTAAAAATTAAAATTGCATGAGTTAAAAGGAAACCATTGACAAATTGGAAATATCTTAAATGAGGTAGGGCCAACCTTCGAAATTAAGAAAGAAATACAGGAGTGCAAAATGCAAATAGCCCAAAGGTGATTCTGTTGATTGATGACTGAAAATTAGTTACTTCGTATCATAATCCATATAACAGAACAGATTAGTCCAAAAGAGAAGTCTTCTCTATCTTGAGGTAATTGCTTTTGACGAGAGAGGTTAATTTTACATTGACTGTCTTATACATGCAAACACACACACGAAATGTCAAAAAGTATGTATTGATACAATAAAATTATTAACCAAAGTAATCTCTGAATGAGACAGCAGCGTTAAAATAAGTTGAATTATTAACCATTGTATACTCCATCAAGAGGGGTGATGCATACAGATGAATTAAAGTACCCACCTAGATACCACAGTGAAATGACTGAATGAATAAAATAAGTTGCTTGGGGTGATTATAATGAAGTTAGAGGCTCATGAATCATGAGCACATAAAATCTAGGCATAGGTAACTGCTGTTGACAATAATCACTTTGAAAAAAATACTACGCAGTAATTCATAGTACTAAGAACGGCTAACACCAGGCCGATATTCTCCAATTCCAAGCAGATCCTGCAAAGACATAATGGATAAATGGTTGTTCATTACATGTGCCTTCATGAAAAAAATGAAGACATTATTGAAACTAAACACCAATACAAAGTTGACAAACATCTAACTTCCTGTGTCAGTTGATACACTATGAATTGCATTGGACATTATTCTATTCGTTGGCTCTTATGGAATCACTGACATGTGGAGTTGATGGTAATATGGCATGAAGTCTATAATGAGTGATATAGTCAAAGTGAGAATGGGAACTAGACACAATATCAGTGTACATAAATAACAGATTTAAAAGAAGCTATTAGAAGCAGGATTTCAGGGTGACACTGATTATAAAAAAGAGAAATTTTAACCTGGCAAGCTTTATTTTTTGCCCTTGTTTCTGCTGTACTTGGAATATCATGATTTGGTTTCATGAATCTTTTCTCACGCCTCTCACATGAACCCCATCCATCTGAAAACCTACCCCCCCTGGGAAAAAAGATTAAAAAAGACTAAAAAAGGATTTAGATCAAGAAAATGAAAGGTACGAAGTAATGTTTTGAACTGCCACAAGCAAAATAGCAATATACTCCGTAGTACATACTGCATATATGCCCGGACCACAAATTCAGCTCGCACAACATTGCGGTTGTCATCAAATTCAATGGTCTTGTCTTTGATTTCATAAGATACGTTGAAGTAAAATGATATTTTCCTCCATCCTGGCAATAGTATATGCATTCCAAGACATAGTCGCAGTTGAGGAACGCCAAAAGGTAGTCACAATGATATTATAATATAGAGAACGCCATGAGGCTGAGGACCTGAAAATTTACCTGATTTTTTAATATAAGGACTTCCTGAAATAATTGTGTAATCGCTTCTCTCCAATATCTGTCAAAGTTTTCATTTTACAACACTTGATTAAAAAAAACCTACGGTTCCTAAATACCCATGTTTGAATATCTGTACTCATAGCTTACTTAGAAAATAATAAATTTTCCTAAATTCTAACTACAGCATAAATAGTGATGACCTTCCAAAATTACAAAAAATGTGCTATTAATTTTTTAAAACTACATTTTTTGATTTACTAAAAAAACTACATTTTTTGATCAAACACTCCTATTTGTAGGGAAAGATGTAGTTCATTTGGAAAACTATCAATCCGTTGACATGCCAATGTTCACAAATTCAGACAGTTTCGTCCAAAGATAAAAGGGGGCTGCTTACTACTATTGCTTCAAAACTTCTTAGTACTTGATATTTAATACTATCGTAGTTCAGAACATTTCCTGAATGTATGATATGAGCCTAACTTGTCAAAATATTTAAACAAACATGAAGAAAGATAACGATCGGACTAAGATATGGTGGAAAGGGTATGGTTTTACCGCCATTGCTGCATTTTGGTACTCCTTGAACAGATCCACTGACGGGAACTGACCACACAAGCTATGCCTTGTAATTCCTGCTCTATCATCACATCTTCCATGGTTCATTTTCGTCCCAGGGGAACACTCAGAGCTAACTGGACTATTACTACGGTAACCTAATTCTGTAACAGGATACCTTGTTTCCTGAGGAGAGGAATGAACCGGCGTAGCCGCCGTGCGTTGCTGGTGTTTCACCATTGCCAGAGGTGGCGTACTCATGCTGCTTCGATAGGAAGAAGCCGGACTGTTAAACTTGGTAATTTTATTCGAGCCTTGATTGAAGAACTCGCCATCAGGGTGAGGATGCTTTCTAGGGCTTTTAGAAAGCCCACATTGGGGGGAGGATAAGGGGAAGGGGACTGTAGGAGAGTGCTTGACAGCAAGAGGTTTACATTGTTGAACTGTGGCGACGGTGGTCGTCCTGGAGGTGATGGAGGCGGCGGCAGCGGAATCGATCACCGCCCACAACGCGGCATCATCCAGGTCATTATCGTCGACTCCGTAGGCAATTACAGAATTCATGCCACAGAGAAATTGGGGAACCAATGTCCGATTCGCTCGTTGGGGGTCTATATAATTTGACCACAATCAGAGAAATTGATGTTTCAAAAGATTCTGCTGGCTTTTGCGAGAGAAAAAAGGTTTTCACTCCCATCATTTTTGTATAGTTCCGTGTATTAACTTTCCTTTCTTTTATTTTTCATTGAGAAATTGCGCTCTCAAATTGTCCAATATACAAGTAAATATAAACATAATTGCACAAATATGAGTAAAATTTAAAATTTCCTTCAATAGGAGTAAGCATTAATTTTGTACTATTAATATCCCTAACCTAGTTAATTCTAAAATATGACTTATTTGATCCTATTAAAAAAATCTAAGGTTGTTGAGGTGGCGGCAAATGCCTACATATTTTTTTATATTTTTTTTCACTTTTTTAAATTTTTTTAGTTTTTTATTTTTTATTTTTGATATTTCTTTGTGTTATTTTTTGGTTTTTTACAATTTTATTATAAATTAATTAATCTTACGGAGTATTTCTTTTATGTTTTAATTATTAATGAAAGTTGTTGGGGATTGAGGCTTAGGTAGGGGTATACTTGTCCAAACACTAAAGTTACTCCTATTCAAAACATGGTACTCATATTTTTGCATTTTACCTATGATTTACTGTTATTTGGGGAATTCTCTCTTTTTCTTTCCTAATCACAATTATACATTTTTTATTTTATCTCATTCTTTTAATAAGCGTGCAATTTAAAATTGGAAGTATTTGTTGGGGTGGACTATATATATAGAGAAAAGATTATGTGAGAAGTTCCTCTTAAAATGAAAAGTGAGAAGCAATTGCAGCACTTGGATTTGCATCTAATCTTACAACGCAGTAAACATATAGACTGAATATAAGAACTTATAACCAATAAATCATAACTTATAAAGTTTTCTATCATAATTACGAAAATGCCACCGCGTCCAAAAAATTTCAAGGTTTCCACGCTTGTTTTTTGCGGTGGCATTTTCGAAATTATTTTCGACGGGGTCTATTAGTTATGATTTATTGGTTAAAACTTCATGTTTTTAGTCTATTAGTTAAACTTCGCAGTTCTCAGCCTAAGAGCACTTCTCACCTGATCCGCTCCATATATATATATATATATATATATATATATATATATATATATATATATATATATATATATATACACTCTCCATCCTTAAAACTTTGCCAAATTTCCTTTTTTGGATGTCCCACTAACTTCGTCACTTTCTCTTTTAAGTAAAGAATTTGTAATTCCAATTAATTATCTCTCCTCTGCACAAATATCTACCACACAGTTTTTACTTTATTAATCCTCGTGATGGTAAAATTTGGTAAAGTTTTAAGGGACGAAGGTAGTGTATCACTGGATTTGTTATCACAAGTATCCTATCTTGAATGCAATTACATAATACGGAGTATAAGCCAGTGCTTATAACGTGGAACCGGTGCATAGTGAGCATCATGCACCCTTTGTTATTTTTTATTTCTCCTTTTCTTATAATTGTTAATAATTTTTTTATTTTTGATCCGATTTTTATAAAATTTATATCAAAATTTTTTATTTTTCATGATCTTTCAAATGAGACCAATATTGCCTATGTAATTTTAATTTTTTACATTCATACATTTTTTTTGTAATACTCCGTATATTTTTATATGCATACACTTTTTCTATAATATTTTTTTTTATCACTTTTATATGTTTTATAGGTTTTTAAGATATTGAGTTTGTTTATTTTGCTTCTAGTTTGGAGTTACATTTGATAATATACGAAGTTACATCATCTTATACTCCAGTTACAAGTTATTATGTGTGAGTTACATTTTGTTATGTGTGAGTTACATCTTGTTATACACGAGTTACATACTTTTATGCGCGAGTTACATGCAATTATGTGGAGTTACATCTTGTTATGTGTGAGTTACATCTTATTATACACGAGTTACATACTTTTATGCGCGAGTTACATGTAATTATGTGTGAGTTATATCTAATTATTTGTGATTTTTTACTTATCTTTATCTTGAACTAATTCAATTATAACTGAATTAATTTTTTTCTTTGCCAATTTAATACAAAATTTTATTAATCCACATAAAATAAATATATTGTATTTCATATTCATACACTATTTTTCAAATGATAAAAATGAAAGATATAGTAGGGGTTTATTTCATGGTGTGACTCACATACATTAAGATGTAACTCGCGTATATTAAGATGTAACTCGCGTACAATAAGATGTAACTCGCGCAGAAGAAGATGTAACTTCATGATATATTATCAAATGTAACTTCAAAATAATTTGTTAAAATTACATAAGCAATATTTGTCTCATTTGATAGATCATGAAAAATAAAAAAAATTGATATAAAATTTATAAAAATCGGATATCAAATAAAAAAGTTATTACAATTTCTAACAATAAAATAAATAAAAAATACTCCCTCCGTCCCGTTCGAATGTTCCCGCTTTCCTTTTTTGGATGTCCCGTTGGAAAGTTCCCATTTCCATAAATGGAAAGTTATCCTACATCAAAACATGATCAAACAGTGCAAAACAGTGTCAAACAGTGTCGAAACAGTGCCAAACAGTGTCGAAACAGTGTCAAAACAGTAAAATTTACCCCCTGGTAAGTTTATTTCCTTAATATGTGTGTAGGTTAAACCGAGAACATTCCAACGGGACGGAAGCAGTATGTATAAACTGCGTCGTTTTGCAACCGGGCGCACCATCCTCATGGTGTGCCGGTTGCAGGGTATAAACTACGGTATAAGCTTTCAATGGCCAAATTAACAATAGCATGTTCTGCCAAGTCATAATATAATACGGAGTACAATTCTAAAGGTACACACTTTTTGGTGTACACACTTTTTACACATGTCTGTGTAAGGTTTTTTTTATGTCTGTACAGACATAACGTATTTTTAAAATATGTTATGTCTGTACAGACATAAAAAAAACCTTACACAAACATGTGTAAAAAGTGTGTACACAAAAAGTGTGTACCCAAGTCCAACTCATAGCGCAATCTTTGGTGAACCATGAATGAACACTTTTTTTCAATGTTTTGGTGTGAATGGATACGAGCTGAGCCTAGTACGGTTGATTTTGGTATGATTACATTAGGTGTACAGATTGAGAATTCTAATCAAAACCTAGTTACGTTTTTCATAAGTATTTGTAAACATGGGATCAAGATTCAAGATAGGAATTATAATTGAACAATATCATATATTTTAATCAAAATGGGTCATTTGAAGCTAAGGTCTAGTCTTTGGAACAAATCATATATACATTACTAGAAAAATGTCTTATAGTGACACCAAATTAGTGTCACTAAAAGTTTATGTGACACTAAAAAAGTGTCGCTGAAAGTGGGAGCTAGTGACACTTTTGGTGACACTTTTTAAGTGTCACTAAAAGTGTCGCAAAATTGTGACACTATGCTATCACTAAATAATGACACCATGGTATTACAAAATGTTATGACACTATAATATCACAAAGTTATGTGACACTCTAGTATTGATGGATAGTGTACCCCGGGGTAGCTTATTCGAGGGGTTATTTCGGGGAACAACCTAGAGAGAAGCCAGAACAATAAGTAAGAGAGAGTGTGTATTCGAGTATGAATGTTCTGTCTATTACAATGGGAAGTGGCTGTTATTTATAGTAGCCATAAATGCTAGATAAGGACACGTGTCAAACATCTGACGGCCGAGGGTCACCTCAATCGAGGTGGCACCGACATTTACATGTGCACTCATTAAATGTGGTGGTTGGACGTGACGCCGCATTAAATGCGGTGATTGCTTGTCTCTAAAAGGAGTCTTCGTCGTCTTCGTTGAGTCTGCTGTATGCCGAAGGCGTAGATGTGGAATACTGAGGGCATGGTACGAATACCGAAGGTGATATATAGGCGAAGACTATATACAGCCGAATGCTATATACATCCGAAGGCGTGGAATAGCCGAAGGCGTGGAATAGCCGAAGGCTAACATTTTGCCCAGAAATGCTCAAAAGCTTAGCAGGTCCATATTAAGTTGCCTTCCACAATTTGGAGCCTTCGACCATAGGTCATATTAAGTTGCCTTCTACAATTTGGAGCCTTCGGCCATAGGCATTTACATGTGCAACCTAGGCTTCCTCAATGCTTGGGCCACTTCGTTTGGTCTTTGTGTGTTCATTGGGCTTGAAGGGCCCGCGTAGGAGGGGCAGAAGTTCGTGGGTCGGGGGTCCCCGGGCCATATACTCCATCAGGAGTCCCTCACTCCTTTTGCCCGAAAGGTACTTGAGGGAAAAGGAGTAATTGTGGTTGTTCTGCCGAAGGCGTCATTGTTGTGAGAGTTTCCTTTCATTGGTTGTTTGCATTCTGGTGCTGCCGAGGGGAGCTGTCAGTCCCCCATTTCTGGAGGCTTTGTTGATGTTTTGAGATTTTTTTTTAACTTTTTGTGATTTCCCGAGGGGTTCTCCAGTCCCCCACTCCTTGAGGCACATGTAATGGGGCGAGAAGGAGTAGAATAATGCCTGTCTTCAGTAGTGAGCCGAGGGTTGACGTCTTTGCTTCATTTTGGAGAGATGCCTCGTTAAAAACCTCATTAGGAAAAACCCTGTGGAAAAAAATCCTAATGAGGGAAAAAGAGTACACCGAATGCCCCCAAAATGAAGTCCAAAGATGAACCATTCGGTCTGAGATGCAGGATAATGCTGAGGCCGAGGGCCTATTCATAATCTGTGGAGAATGGCTCCGAGAAACCGAGGGCTGTCTATGATCTGAGGGCGGTGATTGCCGAGGGGGATCCCCCAGGCCTCCATGCATCGAGGGCTGAAGGCTCCCGAGAGGTTATCCCAACCTCCATGATGGAGGCTAAATGCGGCAGGAGGGCCTTTGTTCATGATAACCCAAGGGCATGCTCTGTTGTTGTTTGAAGGGTGCTAGCTGAGGGCACATCAGGTTTTCAAAAATAGCCGTTGGGATATGACCGTTAGAGAAGGCGTCCACGTGGTGTGCTCTGGTTGGTTTGCTTCGGGCGGGCGTCACCGGTTGGATGAGGCTGCGGTTGGCGGTGACAGGCTTTTAACTGGGGGCCCGGTTCTTGACCCA